CTCTCCTCTCCTCTCCTCTCCTCTCCTCTCCTCTCCTCTCCTCTCCCTCTTGCTCCCTTATCGTGGCCTCCTCAGGCCTGCTAACAGAGCTGTGCTGGCTGCAGGACTTTCGTGTCTCTCCCAGCCCTGCTGAGGAATCTCCTTTTCCTGTGAGCTCCTGTTGGAAGGACTGGAGCATGTGGTCCTTCCTGCTGCCTCCCCAGGAGCTGCTCTGCTGCTGTCCTTGGAGCTGTTATCCTGCCGTGTGCACAGCTTTCCTTCACCCCTGCACAGGGGCAGAAGAGCGCCGTGAGCTGATGTGCAATGAGGACTCTGGTCCAGGCTCACCTGCGTGACTTTTCTCTTCCCTTTTTTAAGGGCAGGGGCGCCTTCCTGCTCTGTTCCCGGAGCCGCGATGCTCTCAGCACAGGGCGCAGTGCTGCTCCTGCTGGGCATCTGGCACACGGGGAATCCCTGTGCTGGGCTGACGCAGACGTCGGTGCTGCCGCCTGTGCCGGGTCAGCGCCACCAGGCTGAGGCTTTTCCCTTCTGCTGGAACGAGCCCATGGATTTCTTTCCACAGAAACCCGTCAGGGTGAAGCACAGCGCGGTCTGAACGCATGGAGGCGTAACCACACGCGTGCCCTGAGCGGGGGAGGCCCAGGTGTGCGAGGCAGTGAGCTGCGGCTCTCACCCAGCTGCGGCCGCTTGGGCTTCGGTGGGGCTGACGCCCTGCTGCTCCCAGCCGGGTCTGCTGCCTCCCTGTCTGAAGAGAAAGATGCACCCGAGGACAAAGGTGCAGCTTAGGAAATCTTCTCCCGCTCTGTTTCCCGGAGGCAGAGCGCTGCTGCCTGGCGGTGAGCGGCTCTGTGGCCGCTGCAGGAAGCCCAGGAGGAGCAGCTGTGCTGCGTGGGCTCGCGGGGCTCCGTGCTCTGAGCTCCGTCCTGCTCAGCCCTCAGCCTGGAGTCTTCCTGCCGGAGGTCGGCTCCGCAGGGCGAAGCTGCAACACGGTTCAGAACTTCTCCAGGCTCATCTGCATTTCTTGCTTCCTGTCTGCATTGCCTGGCAAAGAAGCCATTAAAGAACGTGAGCCCTTGGGAGCATCGATGGCTCCGCATGAGCAGTGAGGAAGGCAGCCCGCAACCCACCTCCAAAGCCTGCTGCCTGCCATTGCGTCCTGCCTGCCTGCTGCTGCTCAGGAAGGTGCTGTGTCTTTAAGCCTTCCCAGTGCTCAGGAAG